AGTACATCGAGAGACTCCTCTCCCCCTTCTTGCAAGTAGAGGATTCAGCTTGCAGTTGATATATCTTGGCATAGTGTCTCTGCTCTGAATAGGTGGACTTCGTTTGTTCCCATATCTCACAAGCAGTTTCAGCCCACATAAAAGTCTTCCTTACCTGTGGCAGCATGGAAACCAAGAGCCATGACATCACCATACTGTTCTCTTGGTTCCACCTATCATATTCAGCACTTTCGTACTTCGGTTCCTTCACTCTCCCATTGGTGTATCATATTTTCCCCCTACCAGTGATGTAGAGTTTTATTCCCTAGACCACTCAAGGTAGTTCAGACCATCAAAGGGAATAACAGCCATGGGGAAACTCATATCCATTCCCCCAGTCACTCCATTGTGGCTCCCTGGAATCTCTGAAGTAGCAGAATTCTCAGACGACATGGTAAGCACAAGTTTTTTTTATCTAAACTCTCAACTTAGGATCCCTCCTTATATCAACAAGCTCCACACACAACAATTCAGTTTTGGACTTAATCTGAGCACAAAAACAAACAGTACCAACTTCCAAAGAAGAACTATGACGAGACTGATTTTCACCACAGCATTAATCAATTACGTATAAGTTCCACCACAACATTAATCAATAAGAGAAATCCTAACACACATGAAATCAGACTAACGAGCAGAGAAAACAAGTCATCTACGACCTACAGTCACCTTTTCATAGGTACAGGATCACACGATCCAACAAATAAAAGATATAACCCTCACAAAAGTCTGCCGACAATTACAGGATCACACGATCCAACAAATAAAAGATATAACCCTCACAAAAGTCTGCCGACATTCAGTGGTTTGGATTCATTTGCTCTCCATTTGGTACACAACCAAGGAAAGAAATAAAAGTAGAAAGAAAACTTTAGGGTTGTACCAGTTGCGGATCTGATTTGATCAGCCCAGATTCAGTCCTCTGTTCCGCCCAAATTCAGCAACTTGAAGAGAAAAAACTTGGTTGCTCAGATTCAACAGCCTTGCTCCGATACCATCTTGACAATAAATCCGATTGAAATATGAGGAAGTAGATAAGAGAAGGAAAGAAGAGAGAAAGGAGAAGGAAGAAAGGAAGAAGAAAAAGTTTGGAGCAATAGAACCGTGCTAGCGGCGCCAGCTTTTATTATATTATATAGGGCGGAAGAAATAAGAAGGGAAAAGACCCTTGTGCCCTGCTGTAAGTGAGTACAATAACAGAAATAAAAAACGCTTTAACTAGCCAAACAGACCCTAACACAAATAACTAAATTATTTCAACAGGAATCATAAGCTCTAAGCTACTAATGGACTGACAAGGGAGCATTTCAGACTTTTGAGAAAGCTTCTATACCTTTGTATGACATGGCCTAATATCTCATATGTGGCAAGTGTAATCAATCAATTTATGCATGTCCCCAAAGACACACATATGGTTGTTGCGGAGAGGGTTTTATGTTATTTGAAAGACACACCTGGGAAGGGTATTCTCTTTGCCAAACATGGACACATGAAATTATAAGCTTATATAGATGTTGACTAGGCAAGTAGTATTGATGACAAGAGATCCACATCAAGGTACTATGCTCTAGTTGCTAAGAATGTTGTTTCTTAGAGAAGTAAAAAGCAGCATGTATTAGATAGATCCTCAGCTGAGACAAAGTACAGGTCCATGGCTCATTGGGTTTCAGAGTTGTGGCTTAAGTTTCTCCTAGAGGAAATGGGCATTACTTATGATAAAACCCCCCATGCTATACTATGATAATCAGGTCGCCATCAACATTGCTCACAAGTCATAACCCAATTCAACATGACAAAACAAAGCATATTAAGGTAGATAGACATTTCATACAAGAAAGAGTAGCTAGAGGGGAGGCTTGTCTCCCTTTCATTGCTTCAGAGGAGTAGTTAGTAGACGTTATGACCAAGGCTGTTCCTAAGGCACAATTGCACCACTATGTAAGCAAGCCAGGCATGAATGACATCTATGCTCAACTTGAGAGGGAGTATAGAGATGATGGGCCAAATGGGCCTTAGTGTCTTCTTGCTTATTGGGTCTATTAGTTCTTATTTATTAGCTAATGGGCCTTAGTTGTGGGCCTATTTTCTTTGTTTTTATTGTTATCAATTCAGCCACCCTACTAGGGGCACCTTTGTGAGTGTACATTACATTATAATCAATTCTAATAAAATATGATTAAGGGACTGGAGAGAAATAAAATCAAGCTCTCTTCCTCTTTCTCCTGAACGTCCTCTTGTTTCTTCTCGTTCTTTTATTTCTTCTTCTCTAAATTCAAAATTGTTGCTAATTTATATTTCATCTGGATTCTTGAGTGGGAGACATGGTCAAAATGTTTATGAATATGTTTTCACAGTTAACTCTGTTACCTTGCATTCATTTTGAGTATGCAATGTGTGTTTATATATGTGCATGCATATTATAGATGCATACATACAGATTTTGTGCGTGTACATGTGAACAATGTAAATCCCTCTAATGATTAAAACAAGGTAACCAGTGTCTGGTCACTCAAATTACAGGAGGCGAAAGCATAGTCAAGAACTTTGTGCCGACCCTTTTGGGAACATTTTGGTAGTATCTTTGAAAAGCAAATAGGTTTTCTTTTAAATAATAACTTCTTTGTCTTTTTTTTGTGGGAGGTGTATGTGTAGGTGTATGCATTTGAGAGAGCAAAAAATCACAACAAGAATATTGTTCAATAGCACCTCAAGAAACAGAAACCAAGGATAAGTCAGGATGGGCTAGGATAGAAAAAAACTACTAAGACCCAGGAGATTAACAGTGATGATTAGTTTCTAAACATTTCTAATCAATCAAATGGCAGCCCAATGCACAAGGCTCCAGCCAATGCAGGGTTCTACGGAGGGAGAGATGTATGCAAGCATCCCTGCACATACAAAGAGGCTGTTTCCAAGATTTGAACCCTGGCCACCTAGGTCACAATGGAGCAACCCAACCGTTGTGCCAAGGCCCACCCTAAAACATTTCTAATCAATTGATACCCTTAAATTGTTATAATTGAACAATGTTGATATAATTGATTTAAACATCTTTTTGTTAGAATGTTGCAGTTAAAAACAACCAACATTAGCATCGTCAAAAAAATGCAGCATACCATCAACAAGAAGCATATCACCCACTTCTACATCATTAACAAAATCATCATAGTTTACACTGACACATGTCTCTGTGCCAACGCCTCTTTTAATCGTGAAAGTGAATTCCTGGCCACTTGTTAATGTGATTGGCTGTGGTAAATCACCACTTCTAACCTCAGGGCCCTGGTGACCAAAAAATTTTAAAAAAAAAAAGAAAGAAAGAAAAGTTAGGAAATAGAAAGGAAAATATTAAGACAGAATATAACAACCAATTTATATCCTTGTTGACAACTTATCCATGCACGCTTACATACTCAACAGAAGACAAGTTAACAAACATGTTACAATCATGTATTACATAAAGAACAGGAAGATATTCATTGAGTTTCAAGGATTCTGCAAAACAAAGTGCAAATCCCTAAAAGGAAAACCTAAAATATGCTTGATGAAAACTGTAGTTTGAGGGAAATCTAAAGCATCGATAGGGTTATAATTCCCAATTTATCCATCAGTAAAAGGAGATTTAATGTAGCATCAGGCAAACCAGAACAATCACCTTGAAAAACCATGTCCATCGCACGCATAAGACATATGGAACAAAATTAACAGGTCACACCCTAAAGGGTGTAAATTGTAATATGTAAAAAAGAAAATAAAATTGTGTCAATCATCCTATTTACCAAGTTCCTTTAGAGGATTAGAGAGTACGGAATGTACAGTATTTCCATTGGTAGAATGTATACTAGATTTTCTCAACATAGTGCCAGTCTCTTTTAGCAGTCACAACCCAACAGGCTAATCATAACCCATGACCCTTTACTGCTTCGGTAACAACAGTAAAGTAGAAACCGCACAATTACTCTAACTTCTTTAGAGATAAATTATCAGAAAAAAAAAGCATGAAAACCACTTTAGTTGTTGTACTAAAAGAAAAGGAGTTTTGAACACTAGCAACTACTATCCTACAAATCTGGTAGGCAGTACCTACAGATCTGTGACTAGAGACCTTCATCAGATTGAAGGAAGTGCTTGAGAAGGTTCTCACCCCATTGAGGGGCTACAATTTGGAGCATCTGGGAAGAGAGAAATTCAATGACTTCATATGAAGATTTAGAGATCCATAGATTGGTTAAAAACAATTAAAATGTAACTTTTCCTTTGATGATACAGGGAACTGGAATGAAATTTACATATCTTTGACCCAATTAAGAAAATTGCTGCTATTGTGTTCCTACCCTCTAAAGCTCAGTTTGGAAAGAGTACAAATGCAAATATGTACAGTGTAAATACATACAAAATAGTACAAAATATAAGGTTTTGCGCTCTACATATTTGCATTTGTACTCCTTCCAAACTCAGCCTAAAGGAGCAATCAAACTCAGCTTCAGTGTTTGTTTTATGAGTAATCTGGGCACTGGTGCATTAGCAGCATTTTACCAGATTATACATGGATTGTAGTATGTTCTTTTTGTTTTCGCAACTTTTTTTTGAGAAAAAGAAAAACAATTAAAGCTTGATGGAAGAATAAATGTCACTTATTGGGTCGTTAAACTGAAATTTGGTTCTGGGTAGCAGTGCAGGACAAATAACTTACTGCTGAAATTTTGATAAAAAGAGGGGTGGTTGTGGAAAACCCAAATTGCATTTTTTTGTAATAGCAGCTTGGAAACTGTTCACCATATCTTTATTAATTGTAAATATGCATATCAGATCTGGCAAGATTGACAGGAATGGTTTTTTTTTTTTTTTGATCAATAACACCAGCTTCATTAAATTAAGAGAAAAGATGAAGTATGTATACAAGAGGGGAGATAAAATACCTTAGCTCCCCAAATACAGAATACAAAGAGAATACAGAGAGAAAAAAAATTAAAAACTAGCCCAAAATACAGACTCCCTATTCACCCCTTGCTTGGCCAACCCATCCGCAAATGAGTTGGCACTCCTCTTCACCCAGCTGTATTGGATCTCAATGTCCCTACACATCCATAAGAACTGCTTCTTTTCATTGTTAAAGTTCCACAAACCACTGTCCTCTTTCTTCAACCAGTTAACCACCACCTTCCAGGATCAATCGGCTGACACTTAATTCCATTGCTCTTCGAATTCCTTCAAGTGCTGCAAGGATCTCAGCCCTAAGAGAGTCACCTTCTCCAATAGGGCCAGAAAATAGAGCAATAAAAACCCCTTTCTCATTCCTGAAAAGTCCTCCAATCCCAGAGGGTCCTAGATTCCTTACACTGCTGCCATCAACATTCAACTTAATGAAACCCAAGGGGGGAGGGGACCAAGAGGGACAAAGAGTCCTCTTGCATCTGGCAGTGGAAGCAATCTCTTTCTAGTTTCTTAGCAAGTCATCCACAGGAAAGTCTGAAAACAACTCCAAAGATTTCAGCCAGTGGGCAGCCCTTAAAAGGATTAGGTCTAACAGTTCTTCCAGGGTTCTTTCCTTGTCAAAAAAAATATGTGAATTTCTTTCTTCCCACAGTGACCAACACACTGCTGCCCTAATACTCCTCCACATAGTCTTCCCTCGCTTCTTAGACCGTCTGAAAAAAGGAGAGAACAACCTTTGGACACTCTCCGGAGGAAACCAAGAACACCCAAAGCGGGAGAAAACCCACTCCCAAACAGTTTTAGCAACCTTACAAGAGACCATGAGGTGGTAGCCAGATTCCCCATCGGCTTTACAAAGAGTACATCTTGTTAGACAGTGTACTTATTGTCATTTATTGTAAATGAATAAAGTGCATAATTGATTCATGTTATTTTGGTGTGTTTCTGTGTAATACCCTTAAACTGAACACTTGTGAAACTCGTGTTAGTTTAGAATCTTCACAGCCGTTGGATAGATCTGTGGAGATTTATCCTACCAAGGTTGACACCGATGTGCCACCAAGTGGGTCGAGGTGGCTTGTCTCAGCTGCCAGGGTGAGACCTGAGGTACATGTAGTGTGGGTTTTCTTGAAACCCTGAACTGAACCAAATTCTAGTATTGCCCTGGACCTTGGAAACAGATGGGCAAAACTGGAATGTTACACCTGACCCCTAAACTTGACTATGGTACTGCACTAGGTGTCGGATTGGGCTGTCTTTGATATGCCAATCAGTGAGATCCTTAGAGGGGGTCAAAACCTAGGTATGTTGGGACAGTCTGAAAATTCACTTGAGTGGGTGATCATAGTGACAAGATCAGCCCCTTTGTCGGACAAAGTGAATGATCGGGGTATACACTCTCTCTAATGGAAACCTAAATTTCTGGCAGTTGATTTCAAATTGTTGAAATTTGTTTTTGCAAAATATATTTTTATAGAGATATACATATATATTATGGTTTCACAAAATGTTTGCAAAAAGGTTTTAATTCCCGGGATCCATGTGAATAGAGAGTGCAACACTGTACCTTGCAGCCGAGGGAGAGGTCCTCTCTTGTAGAGCAGCGTTTGATCATTATGGGCTGAGAAGTTAAGTGTAAGACCATTGAGGGTAATACCTGATGGGCTAATCTTGCATCTGCCCACAGTCCTTAGNGTCGGGCAGTGTTTGATCATTATGGGATGAGAAGTTAAGTGTAAGACCATTGAGGGTAATACCTGATGGGCTAATCTTGCATCTGCCCACAGTCCTTAGGCCTTCATAAGGTGGTTGGACCCAAGGACCATTTAGTGTAAATGTTGGGCCCATTAAGAGCCCATACTGATGGACTCAGGGGGTTCACTGTATTCAGCAGTGAATTCGGCCAGGCCTTGTAACATAGCCTAAGGTGAACCCATGTGGCTGATGTGTAAATCAATGCTAGGGTCCCTCGCCAGACCCCTTTTAGTACCCAAGTATGTACCTCCTTGTGAAGTACCCTTGTTCAGCTATGAAACAACCCGATCTACCTTCTTTTCGGCCTCTTGCAAAGCACTAGAACCTGGGAGGGGCTCAGTCGAGAATGGGTTAAGACCTCCTCTGTTGCATACTGAAGTTTCAATCACCTGCTTCTCCCCCTCCTCCTTTTCCTCCCCCACCGTATCCCCTATGAACAAATGATCTAGGTTGAAAGCATCCATGTTCTGTTATTCAAAACGATCTTCATCATAGTCAGAATCTAAACCACAGCTAATCCATCCTTCGTCAGCCTCTTCCTTCTCTTCTGTACTAAGTCTCAAATAGCGCGGGTTCAGGCGATCAGAAACGTGGTGTTTTTGTTCGTCGCCGGCCAGCCGTCGAACCCAGCTCAGAGGATGGAAACCTTCTGCCGTTCTAGCCTCCTGCGCCCCTCCACAGTCGAGAGATCGAGACCTAGACGATGATAGATGATAGTTTTCATCTATCATCGCCCTAGGCCTACCCCGCCCCACGTGATGACTTAAGTTGTCACATGGGCAAGCTAAAAGGCTACCCGTAATGAGAGGCTCACCCGCTGAACCGGCCGGCTCAGACTTCCTTAAGGCCGGTTCAGACAGAGAGGTTTTAAAAGAGCTCGCCCGAGCCTTACCCCTTCTATCCACGTCAGCATAGGACGGGCCACCGGCTTTAAATAACCCACCTTCAAAAAAAATTGAATTAACACCCTTAAAAGGAAAGCTTCAAGGATTGGGGCGCCCCTACGACTATTCCCCTTCCTCCTTAGCCCTGCCACACGCACCAGGCTTACCCGCCATCCCCTGAAGACCACATGTACACACTCTTCTGCTCCTTCAACCTCTGTTCGTCTTCCCCAAAGCGACGCTTCATCTTCTAAGGCTAGCCAGACCTTATACCAGGCATCATCTGAGAGAACTTCGATGGCTCGAGGCAAGTTTTCCAGCAAGATCCCTGCAACCTTAAGCTCACAGGCTTCTTAAGTTAGCCTCCAGCAGATCTCCACCCAACGCTTTGACAATTTTATTTAGGATTTGTTCATTCCAAAGGTTGAAAGGAAGACCAAGAAGTTTGATGAAGAAGCTGCCAACTCTTGGTACGACTTCGTTGCTAGAGTCCAACTCTGAATCTGTATCAAACGTCCCTCTACACTGAATGTGTCGAGATTCAGTTTCTTATCGCCATCATCTAATAGAGCTTTCTTTTCAGTAAAGGGCAATAAAACAACATCTTCTAAGCCCAACCTTTCGGCAACTACTTCTGAGACCTTCGTCCAATCTTCTACCGCCCTATCTGCCAATAGAACCAACCTCTACTCCCAGCTCCCTCCCCCT